TACCGAAAATCAATAAAACACGAAAATCCTCAATTACAACCAATATTCATTTCTCGAAAAATAATAACACTTTATATTTCTGTTCAATATCGTTTTAATTTCACATCACCACAATGAAAATATAAAGGACTTTGATATTAAACTTCAAAATGCTCCCCAGACATTAATATTGCGGTTAGTTGAGGCTTTTTCCTACCGATTTCATTCGTTAAGTTTGTTTTCGTATTTCAGGAGAATCGCCAATAATTTGTGAATGAAGAAAAAAACAAATTAACATTGTAATCAACACAATCACAATGTTTACTTTTAAAATTCAATAAAAAATCAAGTTTGTTTTGATTCCATGAGCGTGATGACTTATCCTCTTGAGTACAATGTCATCGGACTCAGGGGAATTGAGTAGCATATTCAAGGGGTTAAGTCATCGTACTCAAAAGGTCAAACCACCGTACACAAAGGTCAAACCATCGTACCCAATAGGTCAAACCATCGTCAGGGTTAAACCACCGTACACAAAGGTCAAACCATCGTACCCAATAGGTCAAACCATCGTCAGGGTTAAACCACCGTACACATAGGTCAAACCATCGTACCCAATAGGTCAAACCATCGTCAGGGTTAAACTATCGTCCTCAAAGAGATAAACAGTCCTTGTGCAGTTTCCATCTCAGCCATACATAAGGAAATTGTCGACATAAAGTAAAAACTGTTTTACTCTCCTGACACTGCAACGTAAACCGAACAAAAATCCAACCAACCAAACAACCAAACAAACAAACAAACAAAATCGCTGGTGTATTGCAATGTTGCTTTTATTGACTTTGCAACATGTAGCAATATGTACATAAATAATACACAATTAATACACCGACATGATTTTAGACAATGATACAAATACAACAGTAAAAAGAATATTAAAAACGTATGTGGAATTATAGTCTATGTATATGCTATAAAAACAAGGCTTGGGTTGGCTATTGGGTAAGCTATTTGTTGAATAAGGTTAGGCTTGTTGGGACAGATAAATAAATTACTTAAAATACAGCACAAACAACTGAAGAACAAACAAACACAATCACAAACGTAAAACAAGTAAAAATTCTATACACACAACAAAAGGCCTATCCCAACTTACCCTATCCAAACGAGATATATCCTAAACTAACCCAACCCAACCCATTTTAAACCCAACCTAACCCAACCCAACCAAACTCTAACCTAACCCAAATAAACCCAAACCTAAACTCAACCAAACCCAAACCCAACCCAGAACCTAACCTAACCCAACCAAACCCAAACTCAAATCCCCAACCCAACCAAACTTAACCCAACCAAACTTTCAACTCAACCCATCCAAACCAACCCAACTCTATAAATCCCAACCCAACCTAACTCTAACCAACCCAACCAAACCAACCAAACTCTCTAATCATCCAATCAAACCCAAAATCCAACTCTAACTCTAACCCAACCCATCTCTAACTTAACCCAAATCAAATCCTAAATTCCAACCAAATCAAACCCCACTGTATGTTCCTCTCAACACCTTGCCTTGTAAGCGAATAATGAAGCAGGACACCCTGATTTTTTACCTCCTCTGGTATATATTTTTATGTAGTAACGGGAGCCTTAATTACTTTGTTAATGAAGTAATTACAGGTGTGCGTTCATGTTGCGTGCAATGTGTGTGTGTGTGTGTGTGTGTGTGTGTGTGTGTGTGTGTGTGTGTGGTTGGAGCGTGTGTATGTTTGTGGGTAGGTTGTGTATAGGTATGTTTGTATGCTTATGGGTAAATTATGTATAAACTCTATGTATCTGTATCCACGAATATGTGATTGTACATTATACCAGTATGTAGTATGTAGTATGTAGTATGTATGTATGTATGTATGTATGTATGTATGTATGCCATGTTAGCTAAAACACAACGTTGATATGGCAATATGCAAATGAACCTCAATACTGGTTAAGTTTTCACCAAAAAAAATTTGAAAGAATAATTTTTCCCAATATTTCAACATTTATGTTTTTTTTTCTAAAGTGAGAAGTAAACACGAACGAATAATAATAATAATAAATAAATAAACAGTAAATATGAAACTTAAACTTCAATAAAAACTAGAAATATGGAACTTGAATTAAAATTATTAAAGAAAATGAAGTGCATTAAATTATACTTGTGTGTAACCTCCCCCCCTACCCCCCCTCCAACCTCGGAAGGGAGAGATGGGAGGAGGGAAGGGATGAGAGGAGAGAAGAGGAACAGAGACAGTAGGTATGGGATGGGAGTCAGGGTTACCTTAGGATAGGTTATGGTGCATGGTTAATCTTTAGGTGAAATAAGCTCAGGTGGAGATTCTTCAGGTGATACGAACTTTATCTTTTAACAGCAGAAAAGAAAATATATCCTAGAAGTTTGGGAATCACAAAGTTTGGACTCCACTGAATTAACCAACCATTTAAGCTACATAATTCACAGGTACCAAGAACCACACTACACCCACCAGCCTGCCAAGATAAACAGTAGAGGTCCCAGTACTGAGACATTGGGTACACCATATTATTTACCCACTACATAGTTAACACAGGTGATGTTTACGCTATGTTTTCTGCCCCGTTAACCTTCTGCCCTGTTAACCCTCTGCCCCGTTAACCTCACCGGTAATCTAGTTTGGTAATTTCCCCTCCAAAACAACAACAACAACAACTGTAATAACAACAGCTGTAATCTGGTTTGTTTACTAATTAGTGGAACGGAAAGTAGTGTAGTTTTGGTGACTGTGTAGGGTCAAGGTGTACTCTCTCTCTCTCTCTCTCCCTCTCTCTCTCTCTCTCTCTCTCTCTCTCTCTATATATATATATATATATATATATATATATATATATATATATATATATATATATATATATATATATATATATATATATATATATATATATATATATATAGGAAGATGGAGACTAAAAAACGGACAAAAGAAGAGAATTGATAGAGAAGAAGGAGAAGAAGATGAGATAAAATAAAAAACACTTTATGGCAAAAGGTGAGATCGAGATGCTATCATGTCGGCCATTTGCGACAATCTCTCAGACTGATGACACATGGTGGTGGTGGTGGTGGTAGTGGTAGTGGTGGTGGTGGTGGTGGTGGTAGTGGTGATGGTGGTGGTGATGGTGGTGGTGGTAGTGGTAAGGGTGGTGGTGGTAGTGGTGATGGTAGAAGTGGTGATGGTGATGGTGGTAGTGGTAGATGTGGTGGTGAACATAACATTACAATACGAATCATATGATAAATATATAACGAAAACAAATCATTTACAGACAATGATAAAATATATATTTAAATATTCAAATGAGGTCACTAAATTAATACGAGTTTTAACACGATAAATATAATTCTAGGTTAAATATTTAAATGACATGATAAATTACAAAATAAATGTCCAAATAAAATTACCAGATTATAAGTAAATGTTTAAAATGAGATTAATTAAACATAACTAAATATACCAATAATGTTATCAAATCCTAACCTAACCCCACACCCCTCCCTCCCCCCCATAACCTAACCTAACCCCACACCCCTCCCTCCCTCATAACCTAACTAACCCCCTCCCTCCCCCATAACCCTAACCTAACCCCACACCCTCCCTCCCCCACTTAACCTAACCTAACCCCACACCCCTCCTCCCCCCATAACCCCTAACCTAACCCCACACCTCCCTCCCCTCATAACTTCTTCTTACACCTCCCCTCCCTCATAGCCCTAACCCTAACCCCACACCCTCCCTCCCCTCATAACCTAACTAACCCCACCCCTCCCTCCCCTCATAACCTAACCTAACCCCACCCCTCCCTCCCCTCACTTAACTTCCCTAACTTCTTACACCTCCCTCCCCCAACCTAACTAACCTCACTCACCTTCCCTCCTCATAAAGTTTAAAACAGTTATAGCTAAATTATTTGGACTCGGCAAAAGTAACATTAATATCTCGGGAGGTTAAGAAAAAATAGCCAGGAGAAAGCGTGTTATAAAAGTAAGGACACACACACACACACACACACACACACACACACACACACACACACACACACACGAGAGAGAGAGGGAGAGAGAAAAACGGAAATAAGAATAATAATGAGTAATGGAGGAAGACTTGGGCGGAGAATGAAGGGGGAGGAGGGGATGGAGGAGGAAGAGGGGATGGAGTGGAGGAGGAAGAGGGGATGGAGTGGAGGAGGAGAAGGAGGTGGAGTAAAACCAAGAAAGAGACAGATAGAGATGATAAAAAAAAACCTTGGTAGGAGGAAGGAGTGTGTGTGTGTGTGTGTGTGTGTGTGTGTGTGTGTGTGTGTGTGTGTGTGTGTGTGTGTGTGTGTGTGTGTGTGTGTGTGTGTGTGTGTGTGTGTGTGTAAGGACGGAAGTGTTGAGATAATATTAAAGTATACTGAGGATTTTTATACATACATACATACATACAAGAAACTAACCCGTATATTAACACGGTGACATCATACCGAAGTTACCTAATAAACCCTAAGGTCATAACAAGAGGTCAACGACAGGTGTGACCCATAATGTGACCTAAACCGAGACAACAAGACTGACCTGACACACAACAACCCCTGACCTACACGCTACAAGGCCCCGGTCGTGTTAACACTTGCCGAGCGTGGTGTTGTGGTGTTGTGGTTGACTAAACATGGGTGACGGGAATCTTGGAAATAATGTGAACCCTGAACTAACTAAAACCACTACACTGACAACATCAAGGTGATATAATTCTTTGTTTACTTTCTTATATTGTTTTATGAGAAAATTGCATCCTACACCTGACCTGACCTGACCTGACCTGACGTACCTAGAGATCATTATTTCATTAATTAGATCCTAGAAATCATTATAACCTAACTAATCCTAACTTAACCTAACCCCATCCCACCAAATAGTGTCAGGGTGGTTAGGTTAGGTGAAATAATCTGGGGTGGAAATTGTCGAGATGATCCGTGAATGTTGGTAAATAGCTCCCACGTGTAGGTGATCTGGCGTTATGTCCTCCTGTCTACAGATACTAGTCATGAGAGAAGAGATGTCAACAAAGGTTTTATGTCGAATGTATTTAGTTATTTACAGTAGGTAACTTAATTAACGATAGATGATTATTACCTGAGCTTTGTTGAATATAATTAAACCTCTTAAGCCAGACAAAAATGAAAATTCCGTCTTATTTAACAAGTTTTCTGTGACTCTTATGGTCGACAATAATACCAAAGTGATCTTACTATAAAAGAAATAGATTTATTCTGTATTCTGACATAACCTAAGTCCTTATGTTGTTATACTGAGAAACATTTCCTTCTTCGTTTAGTGACACTTTATGTAGAGTTTCTGGGGAAGGTTGTAACTCTGTCGTGTTTGTTCCTCCGTCAGTGACCAAGTTGGTGGGGAGTGACCCGGTGGAGTTCGACCACAGGGAGTATGTTACTGAAGTGCCGGAGAATACCACCCACGACCTGCTGCTGCGTCTGACTGCCCGGGTCCAGGTCCAAGGTAGGTCCAGGTCCAGGTACACCAACACCACCCACGACCTGCTGCTGCGTCTGCCTGCCCGGGTCCAGGTCCCAGGTAGGTCCACAGTTAATGAAGGCTCCAGGTAAATCCGTATTGCGGCATTGTTCTTATTGCTCCTCTTGACCCTAATCACCAGCCTTTAAGTATGTTCTATTCCTGTGGCACTGTTTTTGGCACTTACTGCTCCAGGTAATCAGTGCCATTGACACAGGCTTCAGGTAAGTCATAATTCTGGTACTATTCTTAACCCTACCTTTTCATTTTGCTATAAACAGTAGGTTATTGTAGTCCTACCTATGTCACCCATCACCTCGTAGTATTTCAAGGTCAAAGGTTATTAAGATCATGTTCCAATTAACGATAACACCTTCACCACCTCCAGTCACCCTCCAAATAGTAAACAATGAAGTAATAACTTGACCCAGCTCTCTCTCTCTCTCTCCCTCGTGACACAGGTGAGGCGGTGGAGTACAGGATAACGGAAGGTAATGATAACGACGTCTTTTACCTGGACTCTACCACCGGCCGCCTCGCCCTCCTCCACCCACTGGACTACGAGTACACCCAACAGGTAGGTCGCTGCTTCTCCCTGCTTCAGGTACAACGACGCGGCCCCCATCAGGTTAATGACTTACTGATAAAAGGTGTTTTTAGTTTAAATATTCCGATCACACGAATATTAAACACTCCAGCGTATTTCATTTTATGATTAACCAACCGAAAGCTAACTTAACCTAACCTAACATAATCTAACCCACCCTAACCTAATTTAACCCATCCTAACAAATCAAAGGTGAATTAAATATACTTCCCAGAAATTCCAATATTATAAATTAATTTTATTGGAATTAGTTAATTTTACCGCCACACCACCCCGTTAAGTACT